TCCATAAGCCAGGGCTGGGGAAGTTGAGCAGGAGGACTAAGCCTTTACGATGCCCTTCTCTGCTCCACCCAAACTGTCAATATTATTGTTACATAGTTACATAGTTACATAGTTACATAGTATTTGAGGTTGAATAAAGACATAAATTAATATATTCCTTGATTTTCATAGTTTAGCCTTAAACTAACTGTGGATTATTGTGTTTCAAGAAATTAGCTTCAAATCAATCATAAACTTGGCATGTGTGTAAATTATGGCTGGCCCAGAAGGATTAATCTGGCTTGTTAGGCCATCATAACCCACCTATGATTGATATGTGTAGATTTTTCTTGACGAGGCACAGCTATTTATGTGATTACTTTTACGATATCATTCTCTGATTCCGAGTTATGAAAATTGGGTTATATATTGTTATATATACCATGGGGTTATATATACCAATATATTATATATACCATCACGTTCTCAGACAATTCATCCCCACACAGCTACCTCCTCTTGTATCATTTCCCCCTCCTCTTTCAGATTGTAAGCCCTCAGGGGCAGGGCCCTCCTTACCACCCTGTCTTGAATTGTATTGTAATTGTAATGTCTTCCTTACATAGTAAAGCGCTGCGCAAACTGTTGGCGCTATATAAGTACTATGTAATAATAATAATAATAATATATTGTAACTCTCAGTTTATGACTCAGTGGGGTACACACATTCCTTCCTTATCCACCAGGTGATCTGTAGGGATTTAGTTGAACAATTACTGTGGTATTAGCTATTTACGACCCCTGTCGTACAGAGACCATTAAGGCTAATTCACACCAGGCGTAGGGAAAAGTTTTGGATAAACAATTTGGCTTTTGGTGGCTTTTGGTGCAAAGGGCTTTAAATTATCAAAGGGACTAGCTTAGCAGCTCTGGAGCTAGAACTGAGAATGTCTAAACAAATTAGGAAGGACGCTATTAATTAATAATGAGATGCTCAAATGTCATTTCCATCACAACTTCAACCTCACTCTGGTTCCAAGACTTAATTGTTCTATGCATAAGTCATCTTTATCTTACGCTTCCCCGTCTTTTGCTTAAATTAGGATTAGTGGACGTGTGGCGTATCCTACATCCTACAGACATGGCTTTCACATGGCTCACTTAGTCATTTTCTGGGCCGGATTTACTCTCTCTGCTGCCCCAAGGTTCCTCAATGAGCTGCCCCTCTACTCCCTGCTGCCCCCGAGGCCGGGCCTTGTGGGAAATCCGGCCCTGGTCATTTTGACTATTTATTGATCGCTTAGGCTCCACTAGACATTGCCCCTCCTCACAGATCAGATTGCGTATTTGGTTGGATCATACTCCTGTCTAACTAACTAGGCATTTTCCATTAATTTCCATTAATGTTGTTTTTGTTTGTTTCTGTGGACTTTCAAAAGTCAAAAATAAAAATGTAACTTTTATTTCTAATGTCACTTTGCTGAGACGAAAATTCATTAAAAATGATCTGCTGCATCTGAAATGAATGAAAATTTCAGATTCAGACTAATCCGCATAACGATTATTATGACCGACTGACGTTTGTAGGCAAATTAGCTATAATTTGGCGCTGAAGTTGCTAGAGGGCCAGACCATTATAAATAGGGAAGCAGGTTGGTTACCAAGACAGTAGAAGTGATTTGTTTCTGAAGATACGGGGAAACAACGCGATGTAACAGCCTTTGAACGCGGGATGATTGCTGGCGCTCGGAGCCATGGAGCGAGTATCAGCAAAACAGCAGAATTCGTTAAAGGATCAAGAGCCACTGTTGTTAACCACCTCCGGGCCGTCCGCAGTAAAAAAACGGCCGGCCCGAGCTCTCTAGATCTGAGCGGGCGTCTTTAGACGTCCGCTCAGACACGCCCCCCCGCGCGCGCCGCTCGGCGTGCGCGAGCGGGAAAACAGGCGGCCCAACCAAGTACTGATGGTGGTGGTCATAATAATCCGGCCACTCAGTGTATATCCCTTGTTTTATTTATTTTAATAAACGATTTTACACACTGTTTCCTTTTGTTAAACCATAACACTTGTAATTATACTGTAGATTCATAAAAAAAAAAAAAATCAACATTTACATTAGTATAAGAAAAAAAAAAACAGGATTCCTCCTATTTAATTTTTTTGTTCTAAAATTATTTGGAACTCAAATATTTTTCTTTGATGTACTTCATTGCCCTCAATACATCTTTGCATTCAATGCATCTGTTTCTTTTTTCTTTCATTTAGCTTTTATTTATTTTTTACTGGGGTTCTGCTGTAAACTTGCCTGAAAGGTAAAACCATCAGTAAAACAATTGCAGGATGAATTGGTGTGCACACCTTTACTGTGGAAACTGTCCCCATGGGATAATGCCTTTGGCGACAATTCAGCTATTATTATTTTATCTGCCATGGGGGAAATTAAAACAAAAATTGTAAAATCATCTGAGAATATCTGTGTGTAATATTATACGAAATGAAACATATAAAATACTCTGCAACCTGAATTCAAGGCATTTATGACAATGTTGGATTGTGTGATGCCTCTTGATCCGGACAGCTCCTTCCTTCCACTTGTTTCCCAAAGTCCTTCCAGCGCTGGTGCCGGTCTCTGATCCAGAGCAGGCTCCTCGGGTCTCACGGCTGCGTCCATTCAGTGTCAGCGGGGCTCTCCTCCTCTCCCCTCCAACGCTCTGTACTGCGCATGCGCCCGCCCACACTTCCTCCTTCGCAGCGTTCAGGAGCCGGGACCTCTGCAGCGGGGAGCGAGCGGCGCTGACACAGGTAAGTTTTGTTGGTGTTGTCCAACTTTTTTTTTTGTCTTTTAATGTTGGGGCATATACCTACTGCTTACTAGCAATAGATATATGCCAAAGAAAACCCAGACTTTAATTCTACTTCAAGTTATGAACAGGGCCGAATTTACTCTCTCTGCTGCCCCAAGGCCAGGTTCCTCAATGCGCCAATCTACCTGTCAAAAAGCCCCCCACCCCCATGGAGAATGGCATACCTGCAGGCCGCATACAAAACAAGCGGCGGATTCCCCGCTGTATATTTCGCTCTGCTTGCCCAAAGCAGGACTAAATGTAGAAAAACAACTACCCGCTCAATGCCCGGAACTGCATGTCCCGGGCATCGGGAGATAGGAATTTCACACCCCTGCTGCTCCTCTACTCCCTGCTGCCCCTCTACTCCCTGCTGCCCTGAGGCCGGGCCTTGGTTGGCCTTGTGGGAAATCCGGCCCTGGTTATAAAGCATTAGTAATAAGAAATAAAATTAGTTTTCTGCATTTTCCTTGTTCAGTAAGGCAGTGATAAGGGCAACGGTGATATGCCAAGTCCTCAGTTACTATTCAGAATGTGTATTGGAGCAGCCAGAAGAACACATGATTGGCTGATCTCTGTATATTGTTCCTGGCAAAAATAATTCAAGCTCCACTACTGTTGAATCTACTATTTAAAAAAAATTACTTTATTGTTTACTGGGCAGTACATAAGTCACTGTGTGAGGCTCCATCTCTGACACATTTCTCCCCATTAGGGGTTAGTCATAGAGATCACAGCAATAAGTCTGTAGGACCAAACACATCACAATGTATCAACTTGTGTCCTGAAACAAAAAAAAAAGAAAGATTATGAATGACTCGGTGTATGTAAACTCCAAGATGTTATAGCAAATGAGTCACATGGGAAGCGAGATCACAGTTCTATATGTCTGAGAAGGTTCTCATTCATCCAGGTCACATGGTATATCTGTAAAGAATAAGTCAAGGCAACTGGACTTGCTGCATTTTTCTTGAAGACGTTCTTGAATTCATTCTGATTTCATTTTTCATTCTGAATTGAGAAAGCTGGTAGGATGACCAGTGAAACGTCTTCAAGAAAAATACAGCAAGTCCAGTTGGCTTGACTTATTCTTTACAGATATTCACAGTTCTATAGAACGGACTGAAGCAATACAAAAATCCTCACTGCTTTGTACTTACAAGTTGCCATTGCCAAGCAACCGACAGAGGAAAAGAATCAACGGTTTAGACAACAGCGGAGAGTAGAGTGGAGTCGGGATCTCTGAATTCAGCCCTAAGTGCAGATAAGTATTCAGTATGTCCCAATCTGTTCAATGTTACATTATAACACTCATCTGAACACTGGGAGACTCAACGGAAACATGACATTTAAATAGTAAATCGGGATAAGTGGCGTGGTTTCAGCAAAATTAACAAATCTGAAAAATTTGACAAAATTAGATTTTTAAAAATCAACATTTTTCTGTTTTAGGTTTTTTTTTTTTATTGCTTTTGAAGGGTGTACTTATGGTAGTTCAGTTGATTTTATTTTGTGTTTTTTGATATTTGTGGTTTTTCTCCCTTTTTTCTGTGTATTTGCTCTTTATTTGTGTATGTTTTTACTTTTCTTTTCATAATTTGTGGGGAAAAAAATAGCGAGGCCATTTTTGTGAACATGTGAACAGGTTCAGGATAGTTGAAAGGAGGTCCTGTAGCCTTTGGGAGTTATTTAAAGCATTTTGCACCCTTAAAGACCTTCAAGGCCACCTTAACTTCACCCTCCTCATGGACTCTGAAGCATTTTGTAAAAATGGCAACATTTTTGACATAAATTCTGTGAAATAGAAACTCTCAATTACCTTTTTCTTCCTCATCCTTTTTAGTGAACTGCTACCCATCCATCATGTTTTACCTGATGAAGGGGATCCTTTGTGACCCCGAAACGTTTGTTGGTTTTTACCACGAAGCAAGTCAATAAATAGACGTATTTTGCAAATTTGGAGTGCCGGTGTCTCTGCTTTAGCTCATGATTGTTACGGCTGCCACCCGTTGACTACCGCAGCAACCAATTCTTGAAGGGATTGACGCGGTCAGGAGTGCGATGGGACCATGGACTATCTCTGCTACCCATCCAGACTCTCTTTTATTTTAGATGTATTTACTATTTACATGACCTTGTGTTTCCATTGTTTCTGATTTCCATCTGCGACCCTTTTCATGAATTGCACTGAAGAAAGAGATTTTCATTTTTCGCCTCTTTCTCTCCCATTTCATTTTCATCTTCTGCTCTTCTTTGGGATTTTAGTGATTTATTTGGTATCTGTGTCGGGAAACTTGCTTCTTATTGGTCTGGTGTACGCGGTACCTCTGCTCCACACCCCAATGTACTTCTTCTTGTGTAACCTCTCTGTGCAGGACATCGTCTACGTGTCGGCCACTCTCCCGAAATTTTTATCTGTTACAATATCCGGTGATTCCGGAATTCCTTTCTCAGACTGTATGATGCAGATGTTTTTCTTCACCTTTTGTGTTGGAGCTGAGTTCTGTCTCCTGGCGTTTATGGCTTATGATCGTTATGTAGCTATTTGCGTCCCTCTCTGCTATACCACCATCATGAACCCGAACTTGTGTGTCGCATTGTGTTCCGTCGCCTGGCTTGTCGGCTTTTGCAATTCCTTCGCCCATGCCGTGATACTTTCCAACTTATTTTTTTGCCGTTCCCGAGTTATCAGCCATTTCTACTGTGACCTGAAGACCATGATAGAGCTTTCCAGCAGCGACATCACTAAGATTCAGACAATGGTGTCCGTAGAATGCATATTTTTGGGGGTGATTCCATTTGTGTTGATTTTATCTTCATATACATGTATAATAGTTACTATTGTCAACATTCAAAGCCCAGCAGGGAGGTGGAAGACTTTCTCCAGCTGCTCCTCCCATCTCATCATCCTCATATTGTTCTATGGACCGTCTCTCGGTTCCTACTTGATCCCGCAGTCTGAACACTCCAAGCAACAGAACAAGATGCTTTCCTTGCTGTACATAGCACTTGTTCCAATGTTAAATCCTCTGGTTTATAGTTTGAGAAACAAACAGGTTTTCAGAGCTGTGGAACTCCTAATAGAAAGATATCGCAAATATTAATGAATTTTGCAGACTAAGAGGTGGTGAAATGATTCGTCCATGGCTCCACTTGTGTCACAGATCACAGACAGCTAATCCTTGCACTCAACTGGAGAAAATCGGAGACTTAGATTTCCTGGATCTGGTTCTTCACTAGACATTTCCTTGCACAGTAGTCTGCACACCTGGCCTTTTTGATGGACTTTAATGTAAAGCCAGAGCTTCCAGCTTTGAGCCTGTGTTAGGATCCAGAGCGCCTCCAGGTGGCGCTGGAGCTAAGCCCTGCAGTTCCTGTGCCCACCTGCAGGTGTCTCCAGGCATCCAGGAACTGTTGGGTACCAGACCACCACTGGGTGGTGCTGGAACCTGCAGCTCCAGTGCTCACCTGCGGGTGTCTCCAGCTGCCAGCACTTAGCAATCACCTGGTGCTTCCTGGGAGGGTATTTAAACCCTCCCTGCAGTCAGGACATAGCTCAGTATCCTGTTGTTACTTCCTGTGTATCCAGAGTCCCCAGGACTGAGACTTGCTTATGTTGCCATTACCTGCTTGTAGTCCTGTTGCTGTTACCTGTATTTAGCTATTTGCTCCTGTTATATTTTTTAGGTGTTGGGGGTTATATCTAGTTGGTGTCACATTGCATATTCTTGCTTTTGGGTGTTTCATTTGGTTTTGCTGGTTACAAATAAACTGTATATAACGCATTTGCTTTGTCCGGTGTGGTCATACGTGTTTGGGTTTCCCGTGTGGGTGCCTGTATACGGTGTGGGGACAACTGTGCACGGACCCATGACCGCCTGTCAATAGTCTCATCTGATTGCACTACACTCTGAATCACTCCTATGACCAGGGACGGATTTTGCACAAGGCTAACCAAGGCCCCGCCTCGGGGCAGCAGGGAGTAGAGGGGCAAGCAGAGCTAAATGTACAGCGGGGAAGCCACCACTTGTTTTGTACAAGTGATCTCGGCAACATTGTATGCAGCCTGCAGGTCTGCCATTCTCCATGGGGGTGAAAAATGTTTTCTACATTTAGCCCTGCTTTGGGCAAGCAGAGCAAAATGTAGAGCGGGGAAGCCGCCGCTTGTTTTGTACAAATGATCTCGGCGATGTCACCGAGATCACTCGTATGCAGCCTGCAGGTCTGACATTCTCCATTGGGGGGATTTGGCGGGGGGGGGGGATGCATTGAGGAACCTGGCCTTGGGGCAGCAGAGAAAGTAAATCCGGCCCTGCCTATGACCATTCCCAACTGCATCTGAACTCTGCTATTGTCAGCCATTTCTCTAAACATTTGTCTGAAGGCTTAGGGACTGATATATAAATATTTTGCCCAGCATACAGCTCGGTGAATGCTATTTGCACAGCACTACCGCCACCAGAAGGAGCCAAGGAAGATGGGAAATTCCAGTGCTCCTCAGCACCACCTAGTGGCAGTAGTACCATGCAAATGGCATTCACACAGCTGTATGCTGGGTAGAAGATTTATAAAGCAGCCCCTTAGTACTGTTTTTTGCATCTGTGCCTATTTGGCTGTTGTCAATGTCTGGGCTGTTCCTGTGTATTTCACCCCGTTGATACCTCAGAACGTTGAATAACGATGTCATCAGCACACCAGCACAACCCTTTCCAAGTCAATGCAAATCCATTTTATTGGATAGATGTCCTTCAGATATCAAGCACTTTCGGGGCCACGCAGGGTCCCTTTCATCAGGCTCAGAGATGACACTGTTGACACCTCACACACAGCTTCTTAGAGGGCTAGTAGGGATGTCCAAGAGGGGATTAACCTCACACTGGAGAGATTTTCCCTCACTTCCTGTGTCTACAGGAAGACAAGTGATGCTCATAAATGCGAGGAGAGACATTGTGACATCCTGTGTCATTTTTAGTTTATTTTCTTTTCAGGTAAAATGTGATGTAATGTAACACCATATTATGGCCACTAGATGGAGCTGAGGAGCATAGGAATTAAAACATGTAATGTAACACTGTATTATGGCCACTAGATGGAGCTGAGGAGCATAGGAAATATAACATGTAATGTAACACTGTATTATGGCCACTAGATGGAGCTGAGGAGCATAGGAAATAAAACATGTAATGTAACACCGTATTATGGCCACTAGATGGAGCTGAGGAGCATAGGAAATAAAACATGTAATGCAATACTGTATTATGGTCTCTAGATCCGATATATTAAAGGTTATAACTCAGTGACACCCGTAACTGGAAGAGGAAGTAATCAGTTTTTAGACAAAATAAATTGAACAGAAACCGAACTAGGAAAACTACATATATCGCAATCGCTGGGCTCTCTTGTTGAAAATGCAGGATGCCTGGCTGCTAAGCCGATCTAAAGGTGCTTATTTCTTCTGAGAATGCAAATCAGGGGTTCTGACTTTGCTTGGACTTCACTGGCTGCATGCTTGTTCTGGGTCAGCTTGAAGCCAGAGACAGCCAGACATAGTGAAAGGCAGGTGAGCAATGACATCTTGTGTACTTATGTCCGTAGAAGTTTCCTTTCAGTCAATGAAGCCACAAAAAAGCAGCATTTTCTCCTACAGAGGGCAACTACTAGCGTGCACCTACAGCCACTGCAGCCATAGAAGACAATGCAAAAGACCGACTGCTGATCTTGTGTGGTTTTTTTTGGTGTTTTTATTACTATTAATATTATTATTATTTTTACATTTTTGTGTAGTGTTTGTCCCAAGACTGTTGATATATTCTGTTAATTGACTCGGCACCTCTGCTGGAAGTCTGTTCCAAACATCCGCTACTCTGTCAGTAAAATAAATACTTTATAAGATTACAAAATAACTACATCATAATATGTAGTTCCTCACTCCATTTAGCACTGTAGGTTTTGCTTGTAGCATGACTACATTTCCCAGAATCCCTTGCCAGATCGGCTGTGTGACTTCCTGGCTGAGTTCACTTCCAGGCTGGAGTTCTTCCGAAGAGACTGGAGGTGCTGGAATCCCCTGTGAGCTGGAGATACCCAGGTGAGACCCACGCTGTGTGTGCAATGTATCCATGTATGTGCAACGCATCCTTGTCTGTACAATGTATCCATGTATGTGCAGCACATCCTTGCCTGTGCAACGCATCCTTGTCTGTACAATGTATCCATGTATGTACAACGCATCCTTGTCTGTACAATGTATCCATGTATGTGCAGCACATCCTTGTCTGTACAATGTATCCATGTATGTACAACGCATCCTTGTCTGTGCAATGTATCCATGTATGTGCAGCGCATCCTTGCCTGTACAATGTATCCATGTATGTGCAGCACATCCTTGCCTGTGCAATGTATCCATGTATGTGCAACGCATCCTTGTCTGTACAATGTATTTATGTATGTGCAGCACATCCTTGCCTGTGCAAGGCAACCTTGTCTGTACAATGTATGTGCAACGCATCCTTGTCTGTACAATGTATCCATGTATGTGCAACGCATCCTTGTCTGTACAATGTATCCTTGTATGTGCAACGCATCCTTGCCTGTGCAATGCAACCTTGTCTGTACAATGTATCCTTGTATGTGCAGCACATCCTTGCCTGTGCAATGCATCCTTGTCTGTACAATGTATCCATGTATGTACAACGCATCCTTGTCTGTACAATGTATCCATGTATGTACAACGCATCCTTGCCTGTGCAATGTATCCATGTATGTGCAGCCTATCATTGCCTGTGCAATGTATCCATGTATGTGCAGCACATCCTTGTCTGTACAATGTATCTATGTATGTGCAGCACATCCTTGCCTGTGCAATGTATCCATGTATGATTGAGGAAGCAAGGAGGTACTGGGGTGTGCCTGGTTGAGAAAATCTGATGTACAATGTATCCTTGTCTGTACAATGTATCCTTGTCTGTACAATATACACTCTGCCTTCTGCAACATTATAACATTCCTGTTCTGGGAACGGCGTGATGCTGAATTCCTAAATATTTTCGTTTTGGATGGAGGGGGAGGGATTAGAACCCTCGTAATGTTTCCAGTGCTCAGTATTGCTGCTGTGGAGATTCACCCTCTCCTGAGACAAAAAAAGTGTTGGGAAATCAAAAAAGGTACAGTGCAAACACCTACTGTGATGACAGCTGTCTATGAGGGCATTTCCTCTTAACTTCCTGTTGTGTCTCTGAGACGAGGGAGCATTGAGACGGCCTCCCGGCCAATCATAAAGCAGGGCGCCGCGTCATTACACGGCGCCCGGCTTCCATGATTGGCCAGCAAGACCGTTCCAGGCTGGACATGCCGAGGTGAGAGGGGACAGGCTGGGACGGCTTTCTTGTTAATCAGGAAGCCAGGTGGCGAGTCATTGCACGCCACCTGGCTTCCTGAATGGGACTTCCGGTACTCGGTAATTGGTATCGGCGAGTACCGGAAATATTTTTTTTTATACCGGTACCAAAATACCGGTATCGGTGCATCCCTAGTCTGAAGGCTTATCTTCTAGCTGGGGAACTTGATTTGGCCTGGCATACATTACCAGCCAGCAAGACATCTGGCGCCAACTGGCATGTTGGAAGCGTTGAAATAAGGAGCTACCAACTCATCATGCATCATTATTCTGTTACGTTGTCACATGTTATCATTCAGTTTAATACATCTGAACTTCTCTGTTGTAGGGAGGCACCATGCCGAAGTGCATCGTGGCAAACTGTAAGAACACAACGCGCAAGTCAGCGTCCCGAGGTGTCACACTGCACGTGTTCCCTCACAACCTCCAGAGAATAAAGCACTGGCTGCTCAAGATAGGGCAGAACTTCGGGAATTTGGATGCCTTTGCTCAGAGGATTCTGGAAGGCAAGAAAACGGACGCCTTCCGAATCTGTTCCGACCATTTCACTCCAGAAAGCTACATCAGTCAGGGATGTCGAAGTATCCTTCGGACTGAGGCTGTCCCAACCCTCTTCCCGAAGTATAGAGAGTCCGACTCTGAGGACGAGGCTGCCCCGCCTCCGGAAAAGAGGTTTAAGGCTGACGCCTCTAGCCAAGACTACGACAC